TTTGCAAAACACTTTTTTCATAACATAATCATTATCAAGAGAAAAACCATATTCTCTAAAAATTTCTAGCCCCATGCTCAATATTTTGTTACCAACATCTCACATTAGTAGCTCTATCATAGGTTGTGTTTGGGGTTGCTTTTTGACAACACTTTTTCACATATCACCTAATAAGAGTAATAATTTATTATAATTAAATTAATTATAATTGATATTTTGTGTAATTGCATAGTTATACTAATGTATAAAACTTTTTTCAAAGTAATTATCAAACAATAATATAATTTTTCTAATAATAGAGTACTGAAAAACCCACAACAACTTCACAATAATCCAAACACAACCACAGTCATTCACCATGTGTTTGGTTCCCTGAAAAAGAAAAGAAAAAGATAACCCAAACAATTGTCAACTTCTTAACCATTCCTACTTTAAAAATCCATTAGGCCAATAGCATAAGAACAGTACCAATTTCCGGGTTTACCCTTTTCATCCCACAAATCATCATCTTCCATGCTTGACTCAACCTAAAACAAAGGAAAAGAGATAACAACAATCACGGAACCTGATTTAGTCGTACTAAATGAGAAAAATTTAGTGATGGTATAGAAATCCTAGTCGTTATCCACAAGAGAAGATGGTGGATTTTAGAGAAGAGGTAGAGGCAAATTCTTTTTTGTCAAAAGGGTTCTTAGCGTTTGTTTGGAATGAGGGAGTTGACAAGGAAGGAGAAGGAAGTGAAGGGAGATACCTCCTTCTCCTATTTGAGTTACTTGTTTTAATAGAGGAGGGAGACAGAGGAAGATATAATCCCCTCCACTTTTTCGTTTTCTACCCTTCTAATTTGAAGGAATTGCAATGGATTTATCTATATATTTATTTTTTTATTTTTTAAAAAATGAATATAAATATTTTATTTGAGTTATTTATTTAATTTGTAAAATTAAAATATTATATTGTATTTTTTAAAATTATTTAATTAAATAAAAATATTATCTTCTTCTTTTTTCACTTTTGTCAATCCAAACAAAATTAACACTAATCCTTCTCCTCCCTATCCTCTCCTTCTCTTTCATTTACAAATTTTTATTCAAGCATACCTTAAATAAATAAAGCAGAGAAAAAAACAGGTTTTAGATTGTGGGTGTGGGCTTGGGCCTACATGTTGTATATAGAATTTTAATTTACCCTATAGATAGGAGGTATTCGCCCCAAAAGGGATTGGAGGTTTGTCTGGTTTTGGGCTTGGTTCAGCCAGTTCGTCCACTTTATGATATGACCATCTTCCTCCGTCTGCAGAATCCTAGTCAAAGTCGGAGTTGACTGTACTAACTAATTAACCTTCCTCCTCTCTCTGCAGAATCCTAGTCCAAGCGGAGTTGACTGTATTAACTAGTTAATCTTCCTCCTCTCTC